AACATCTTTGGGATAATGGAAGGAGACAACAGACTACAAGAATTCTTCACATGGACAAACACGGTACACGACAACCAGAAATTAGCCCTCGAGAGGAGCGAGATATCAATCCCATTCTTAAGACACCAGAGTATATATCAACAGGTGACAGAGAACCTGCAAATGACAAACCTTCACGCATACCTCAGATATGACTCAAGCCACCCACAAGCACTAAAAAAATCACTTCCTTTTTCACTAGGTCTCTGTCTGAAAAGGACAACAAGCAAGAAGGACCTGTCACCACAGCTCCAAGACCTCTGACCTCTGGGGATGTTTCAGAGGGAGGGGATACCCAGAGCACATAATGAGAGGGGCTGCAGAGAAATTGGGGAGCCTAGACAGAAATCATCTCCTACAAACAAACATCGATTGGAGACTACAGAATGGATGGATCCTACCAGCCCCATTTTTCCAAGGTCTAGCCAGACACAGACAAAAATGAGAGACCTGTGGCAGTGGATGGAAATAAATTATGGTGAACACCCGGCCTGGAGAGCTTTCCCAGAAACATCACCGATGACAGCCTGGAAGAGTGGAAATTCAATCAAAGACCACCTAGTTAGAGCGAAACTCAACAATAGAAAGGTACCCAACGAACCGAACCAAACCAAACCTAACCTAACCTGACCAGACCAGACCAAACATAAAACGAAAGATTAAGTGCCCAATGTTAGGGAGGCTCTACATGTAAAGGAATAAGAGGACGAGCTTGATGTATGTGACAAGAGCAGGAACTAAAAATAAAATAAGTAGTTTCTGTGAATGAAAGTAATTCTATGAGGTAAGAACAGACAGAAAAGGAGGAGCATGATTTGAATAAAAGATGTGAAAAGACTAGTTTTGCAGAAAACTAACGAAATGAGAAGCATGGAAGAGAAATTAGTTATTTTTTCCTTCAGAGAACAGGAAGCTACTTTTGGTGGAAAAGTAAAAAAAGAATGCTAAAGATATACTTTGGAGAATGTTAGATGGTAAATTTGAGAAGTAGAAATTAAAAATCTGAAACATTTGTGGTGTTTAAAACGATAAACAGATCAAGGAATAAAAATGTCATGGAAGCATATGGAGAGAAAATGTCAAAAAATCATAAGACTCAGGATAGTGTACAGTTTCTAAGATTTTTTGTTTTGTTTTGTTTGCAGGGATATTCCTGCAGAGTATCTAAGATGATCAGATTATTCTGAATCAATAGACGAAAAAAGAGTGTGACGAGGCGGGTATTTGACTGAATTTGAAAGTACTGTACATGAGAGAAAGGCTAATAATCTAATAATGAGGTGAACAGATATAAGAGTATATCAATAAGCAGTACTTCATCATTTAGTGTGAAAAATGCATAGGAAATGAAAGGGAATAATGCAAGATGGGTCAGTTAAGTTGTTGACATTACGTAAAGCAACTAATTGAAAGCACTTTACACCTATTTTTAAGAAGCAGTGGGGAGCTGCTGTTGATATCTCGCTGGAGTGTCAATGGTGGTGATTCCATGAGAGGCCTAGAAGGTATGGCAAATGGATATGTAATTTTGTTTAAATGTATTTAACCTTTTCCAATATTCTCATATTTCTTTCAGCCTGATGCTTCCCAACCCAACCCCATAGAGCAAATCTGAATAAACAACACTGATGTAACATTGAATGTTACATCAGTGTTGATCCTTTGTTAACGTTACTCGAGTATATTTTGCCTGCGGGGTAATGAGGGATAAATAATAATACTATGCAATTAATGTCCTGCTATTAATATAAACTGAAGCTACCCTTCTTGTCTCAGTTTATATAGGCATAAACTTTATGCTTCTTCATAATAATTCCATCTTACCTATCAGTGACTGTGGCAGGTCATGCATTCAGTTTGGGAGCAGAAAAAAAGATTCAAGGACTGTCAAAATGTGATCCTTGAAGACTTGAACATGAGCATCAATACTTGAGAGCCGCTTGCTCAGGACTGTCCAACTTGGAAAAACAGTCACCACAAGGGCCCATGCAGCAGAAAATAGACAGACTGGAGAGGCCCAGAAGAAACGCACCACTCGCAAAGCTAGAGCAACCCCCGCCTCTGCAGTAGCACCCACCCACATATGACCTGCATGTGGGCGAGCTTTCTGGACCCAGACTGGTCTTGTCCTCCATCATCTGACACACAGCCACCGACCTTTGGCCTGATATACTGTATTGAAGACATGATCCTCTCTCTCTCTCTCTCTCTCTCTCTCTCTCTCTCTCTCTCTCTCTCTCCGAAGGACGATCATCATCATTGACTATGGAGGAATGAGATTATGCCCCACCTGCTTTCCCCACCACCATAAACCACCCCATGGTTTATTCCTGGCATGCTAATTACCTCTCTCAACATTACTGTCTTTATCCTATTTCTTTTTGAAGTTGTGAATGGAATTGGCTTCAACAACCTCTTCTTTCAATGCATTCCTACCTTCTGTACAGGAAATGATAACCTTGAGAAAATCATTGGAGCAGGATGGGAATCTAACCAGTATCCTGAGTAGTCCCAGATGTACACCTTACTCTAGACCACAACATGGTCAAGATTATACAGCCTGGGATTTGCCTGAATCTACTAAAAGTCTGAAGGCACCGAGCTGGTAGCCAACCCAAGTTTTACATGTACAGTAAATCCCCATGCACTCTGGTGTAGGTAATGGAGTTCTCTGTCAAACTCTTTCTTCAAATAGACGAGGAAATCACAGTATACCAGGACTCCCCAAACACTGCCGACTTCAACATTATGAGTCGGCATTACGTGTGCCTTGGGAGTGCAGAGATCCAGGTTCCGTCACATTGTTGGCCTCACTATTTTCTCAAAGATACATCATGTTCTTGTGATCTTGTGCTTCTCCCTGCTAGAGTATAGAGGCTGGAGAGTGCCTGGAGCACGATAACCACAAATGAGGAACATGTACTGAGGGAGCTCTTTTAGAATGCCAACAACTGTTTGCATCAATGCCATTACCCAAAATGAAAACATCAGTATCTACCAACATATTTAACTTCAATGTATCCACTAGCTTTAAGCACTTTGTTTCCAATTAACTGTACTTTTATTAATTTTCATACTATATCCCTATTTCCTACTTCTTTTGGAAACAAAAAAGGGAAATACAGTATAGTGAAAGGAGATATAGATATAGATATAGATATATATATATATCTATATATATATATATCTATATATATATATCTATCTATCTATATATATATATATATATATATATATATATATATATATATATATATATATATATATATATATATATATATATATATATATATATAATAACAAAAATATAGAGAAAGGAGGATATGTATAATAACAAAAATATAGTATAAGGAGGATATATAAATAACAACAAATATACTGTATAGTGAAAGGAGGATATATATAATAAAAAAATGCAAAGTTGATTTTTTGCCTCTTGGGGAGGCAAAAATTTTTGCCTTCAAAAAAAAAAAAAAAAAAAAAAATATAAAAAAATTGATTTTTTTTTTTTTTGAAAGAAGAGTTTCCAGGCCAATCCCCACAGGAGATGCAAAACTGATTGATCCCTCCTCCCTATAATGTAGGGGATGTGTAACCGATGGATTTCCCCTCACTTTTATAATTCAGGGATTGTGAGGCTGATTGATCTCTCACCCCTATAAAGCTGGAGATTTAAGGCCAATTGGTCCCTCACCCTTATAATGCCGGGGATACAAGACTTGATTGATCCCTCACAACTATAATGTAGGGAATGTGAGGCTGAATTATCAACCCCCCCCCCACCTATAATAACACAGGAGATGCAAGGATGATTGATCCCCCCCCCATACTAATAATGCAGAGGATGCAAGGGTGATCTCTCACAGCTGTCATTGGAAGGGTTATCCCACATTCTTACACCAAATTCTCTATGTTCCTCTTAATCATAATATCTTTAAAATTTGCCCCAGTTGCTTTCTGTGTTTGTGGCTTTACGAGACAGTACCTAATTTGCTACTTGATCCATATTAATTAAATTGTAGGTGCCAACTATACTAATATGAATATATATGTACGAGCCACAATTGCATCTCATCCTCGTGTTCAAATAGTACTTTTAGTAACAATGTGGCCCATCATACATATATTGATGTAAAAGGTAATTAGAAAGTAGAATTCGGTAATACTGAATTTCGACAAACTGGAAAGGTTTTTGTACTGTTACAAAGAAAAACTAACCTAACCTTGCTAGGACTAATACACACTATGTGATGCTTAATACAGTATAGTACATATATGTGCTATACTAGACCTAGGACTATTTAAGTCTATCTTTTAGCTTGATTTTTTCGGACTCTATAAAGTGAATTGTACCGAATTATGCTCACTGAATTTTACATCAATATATGTACGATGGTCTACATAATTAAAAAAGTACTAATCTAAACAGCAGGATGGGTTGCAAAATTGTTACAAAATCTTGTATATTATTTTTTTAATAGAATAAACAGCAATCTATCCACCCAGTTCTGTTAAGTTCAATTTATTTCCAATACAGTATTGATATTTAATGTTCTGCCTTTACATTCCAACTAACTAGTACATATTCATATTTTGGCAAATTATTCAATTTATTGAGGCACCTAAGGCATAGACCATTCTCAATTTACACCATATGTTTAGGCCTGTATCATTTACCTCAACCATGAGGCAGTCAACATAAACACTGAAGAACTAAGTTTTCTAGTCAAAAAATATTTTCATATAATGTATAAACATATATAAACTACATGGATAAATTTGTTTCACAACTATTGCATACAAAAAAATATGAAATAAAAATTAATTTTAAGCAGCAGCTACTGAACAAATTCAACGGAATGCATAAAACAAGTTCAAACTGAAATAATAGCCGTGTATAACACACAAAAAACAAAACCTAATACTAAAAACTAAATAAAATAAAACAAAAAAATGCCCACCCTAGCAGCGAAGGCATCACGATCTGCTGTGGGTGCATCAATAGGGTGTAGAGGTGGGGGCGCTCCTGGAGCCCGACGACCACAAACTAGACGCACGTATCGAGGGAGCTCCTTTAGGATGCCAACAACTTCCACATGGTTCAGCCCAAGTAACTTCTGCCCATTAACCTGGTAATAATACCACAGTCAGATACTAGTACATCATTCTTAAGCCAATGAGTTTCATAATTTCTTCCAGTGCAATAATACTACATGCATCCGTGACTGCTTGAAATGGCCATCACTGAAGCTTATTTTTATTCACGTTAACCACCAGACTATGTCTTCCCCAGTCAGTGTAGATGCTTAGGATTACAACAACTAATTAGCATCTAACAAATGTATATAAATTGCCTAAATCCAGGCCAAATAATTATACATGAATAATTGTATTAAAGAAATTAGAATTTTAATATTGCAACTTATTCTGACTTGATCCTGTGTAGTTATAGATAAAGAGTGAAAACACATTTGGTCACAGTATATATATTTGCTTCACATTTTTGTTTATATTGAACTCTAGGACACGAGGAGGAGTCCAACAAGAAAATACATGATGCAGAAGGCATCTGCTAACTTAAAAGTTAATGAGACTTGAAAACGGTCAATTAAATTTCTGTCCTTCTAACCATCTATACATAATACACTCTGTATATATAATACATTATGAAGACATAATACAGTATACAACTGTGTACAAGTACAAACCCACATCTAATATGTAATGCCCAAATGGTGAAATATAAAACTTTTCTATCAAATCACTGTAATGTTAATATAGAAAGCAGCTGAAAAATCTTTTTAAATTTAAATGAACTTTCTGCATTATTTCCAGTAGATTGCAAAAAGATTGCAATTGCAACAGCTGATTGAAACATCATCATGTTTATCAAATTTCTATGTAACAGTCACAGAAAAAAAAATAATTACGCTGTCACGGAGCAACCCCCGCTTTATTTCATGCACGACTCATTAGAATATTAATTAAAGAGTAACCATGCATCATGAAAAAGACAACCTTAGCTAAATAGCTATTTTTAAATTTTGGTGTACAATCATAATATCACTATATTATTTGCATAATAAAATATTGCTGTACAAAATAATTCAGTAATTTAACAATACAGAACAGTATATGAATTCTCCATTTTATACTGTTAGGTAGGAAAGGCTTTAATTTGACTACATTTTTCATGATGCTTTGCTCTTATAAGACACACCGAAAAAAAAAAATGGTACCTCAAGAAGCTCGTCACCACTGCACAAGCGTCCGTTCTTTCCAACAGGGCCATCAGGCAGGATGGAACGGATGTAATGGTGAGGACGAACTTCCCTCCCACCTTCCACATCCACCGTTCCTTCCAAACTGATGCCAAGTCCGCCACCTTCTTCAAACTTGCTTAACTGGGCAACCTGAAAAAAAAAATCTGATCTATTACATATACTGTACAGTATAAATACAGTACATATTATATTACATGACCGCTTGTTTATAAAGGCAGCAAAATCAGTATCAACAAACTATAATACTGTAATAAGATATGTATTATTTATATCGAGTTGCTCTAATAATACAGAGTACTTATCTAATGTTGCACAGTCTTGTTACATTTCCCTTCACCACTGACCTTTTAATAATAAATAAATTCCTTGGGTAATCGATTGTACCAGCAAATACCGTGTATTTTAAACAAAGTTCACGAATAGTACATGCTAAGCTCTTTATGTTTTATGCCTATACTGCATACAATAATTTGAAGATTACATTTTTGTTTTTTTGTATTTCCACTTACCACAATCTCGAATTCAGGTCCAACAATCCTTGACCATTTTCTGTCAATAGCATTTTCCACAGAGGGCCGAAGGTCTCCAGAATAGTCGCTGTCTATCATCAGCTCAATATCTTCAAGGCGAACATCAGAATTAATGCCAGAGGACAATGGAGGGAGATCAGATGAGAGCTGAGGAATGGCGGATGAGAGCTGAGGCACATTGGTGGTGGTCGCATAAGAGGAGGTAATGCCAGCAGAGAGAGCAGGAGGCTGCAGAGACTGGCTGGAGATGGAGGGGTAGGTAGGCACGTCGGCGATAATTGTAGTGGAGGTGGTAGGCAGGGAGAGTGCTGGGTTGATGGCCTCGATGAGCAAGTCCTCTCCACTCACTTCTAGTTCCCCAAGAGCCGATCGTATGGCCTCGCTGCTTGGAAGCTCACCGAGCTGTTGGCATAAATGGTAATATTAATCTCATCATGTAATTAACAATTCTCATATATAAGTACCTAGCTATCATGTATACACTCCCCTAACCCACCCCCACAGGCACACCTGCTCAAACAACATTAACACCAACTCAACATTTATAATGTTGATTAAATGATATTCTGGCATGTTTTAACCACTGGGACTCTTCCCACTTTCCGAGCAATAACGCACAGTACTTTGTCAACATTAACATTTTATGTAGTGATATAGTGCGTAATCACATTACCATAACATCACATAAATGACACCACTCAAAATATTTACCATTTTCAAGGCACAAACTCACTTGCAAATGAAGTTTGTGACATTTTATGGTGATCAAATGTGCAATATTACGAAATTGTATCGATATAAATTGAAAGCAAATTGGGTACAGTATTAGAAATTGTACTCGCACAGTTTCAAGGAAAAAACTGGATTACACAGAACACTGAAGACGATAGAATTTGGGCAACAAACACCGGTACTTTCGTGATCAAATACAATTTCCTGCACACGAGAAATTTGTACAAATTGGAAATCTTGCAGGAATAATGATATTGTACAATGTAAGGTTAGGGTACACACCTTTTAAGTTCAATTTAAAAGTTTAGTTCAATTCAATTCCACGTCTTTTCAAGTTTAATTATTCGGAAATGGCACTATTTCCTAAAAGGACACACTTATTTTGATAACTCAAAATTAATGTCACGAGAAGGAGCCAGTTAGGTCGTTTAAAGTGCTAGGCTCCATGAAGGCTCCTGGGAGCAGTTATGAAGAGTGCTAGGCTACATGAAGGCTCCTGGGAGCAGTTATGAAGAGTGCTAGGCTCCATGAAGGCTCCTGGGAGCAGTTATGAAGAGTGCTAGGCTACATGAAGGCTCCTGGGAGCAGTTATGAAGAGTGCTAGGCTACATGAAGGCTCCTGGTAATAGTTATGAAGTGCTGGGCTACATGGAGGCTCCTAGCCCCAGTTTACCCAACAGTAGTTGCAGACCTCGTTGTAACACCAAAGGCGCATCATGTTCCTGGGAACATTCATAGTGTAATGCTCTACAAGAGCTATAGTAAGCAACACTTAAAGCCTGCTAACAGGAGGTCACAATCGACTTGAGAATGGTCCAGGACGGACCGAAACGTCGTCGTCCCTTCAACTTCTAGTGTGTGGTCTGGTCAACATACTTCAGCCACGTTATTGTGACTCATTGCCTGCATCCTGCTAACAGGAGTTAAAATGTCATCTATTACTGTACCCATCTATGTAAGGAATAGTTATATAATACTGGTCTATACTACTTGAATATGATTACAAACATGTCTCAATAAAGGGATCACTGATCCAGGTGAGGTTTTGGCCTTTAGGACTATCAGATGAGTTATGAACACCGAGATACTGGTTTAATTAATGACCAATCCAGCAACTAAACTTTAACTCTGTATAAAGTTCAGGTCTAAAATAAACTTGTGTTTATAGACCTCTCGGTGTATTTGTATATACCTTGGTGCATGCACACTAGTAATCCAATATTCCCACACGGAGAGATAGTATACGTGCCACCTGCAGAGGGTTTGTTAATCAAATTATCAAACTTGTTCTGTGCCCGCCTCGTAGATGAATGCTTGCCGTAAATCATTGATTATGACAGGCAGTGCTAAACGATCTCTTCTATATTATATTCTGCCATGAATTGTGTTTCAATTCCGAAACAACGCTGTATAAATTACATGTTCAACACTGCCAGATATGGTGGGCCTATATCTATGATATTTCAACCTATCTGGAAGAGATAAAAAGTTGTTGCTTACTAACTACCCAGTTTCATCTGTTCCGGCCTCCACAACCCAAAAGGTGGATAATTAGATACAACATTAGTTGATACAGAGCGTAAAACCTCAAACATATACCCGATTTGTATGGAAATATTTACACATCATAGCCTCACATCTCAAACTTAGGACACGCCCTGTCTTCACATGGACCAAGTACAAATTCCCTTAAATCTTGTATTACAACTAGATCATGCACAAACAGAAAATTTAAATATATGATATACTGTATATCGAAGGATACAACATGCACGCTATGAATTGTGCAAAGACGCGGGAGCATTTAGGAAAAATGTCCACTCACACTGGAATATTTGTTAAATTGTGCACACAAGTAATTGTACATTTGTAAAAACCCCGCAGGCACAGAAACCACAAACATTTAAAACTGCACAGGCAGTGGGACACTTGTGCAAACATCTGGAAAACTGTGCACAAACAATGGAACATTTAAAAACAAAAAAGTGCACATTAATATAACTTTCAAAAAGCTGTGCACAGGAAACGAGATAATCGGAACTCTCATCCTGCAAAAATAATAGTACATATAGCTACTTTGGATAGGTTGTAAAATATACGAACAGTTTTTTTAATTTTTTTTTTAGCTTGTGTAAAAAGTCCACCTTTGTACTAATTCTAAATGTGTAACAAAACTGGAATAAACTACCAATAACCTAACCAAGGTTGTTTTAGCCTTAAATAAAACATCCAAGGCCTAACCTACGCAATCTTAAGCCTTATTTAGTACATATATATGTACTGTATACACTGGGCCTAAAAAAGAATTGAGTTGTTGACTTTTTTCTCAGTCCCTTGACAAAATTAAATACAAAACATGGAACTTTTATTTTTTATCAGTTCATATTTTGTCCATCCTCTCCAAAGTAGCCATAGATTCCCATATCATTCTTGGGGGACATTTTGGCACACACATACAGGAACATCTGTAAATCTGTACACAGGTAAGAGCACACCTGGGAGACTTAGAATGCGAAATGCAGCATTTGTGAAAACTAACAGAGGTGCCGTTAACATCTTAGTCAGCCGTAAACACGGACAAAATGTTGATTCAAAAGTACACACGCTAAGTCAGGAGGGGTAGGGAATGGCTAGTATAGAGGCAAGTGAGGGAACGTCTAGTGTGGAAGCAAGGGAGGAGGAATGTGTAGTATAGATGCAGGGGTAGAGGGAACGTTCAGTATGGAGGCAAGAGAGGTAACATCTAGTATGGAGACAAAAGGGGGAACGTCTAGTAAAGAAGATGGAGAGGAATGTCTAGTATAGAAGGAGGAGAGGGAATGTCTAGTATAGAAGCAGGAGGAGGTTATCTTGAGATGATTTCGGGGCTTTAGTGTCCCCGCGGCCCGGTCCTCGACCAGGCCTCCACCCCCAGGAAGCAGCCCGTGACAGCTGACTAACACCCAGGTACCTATTTTACTGCTAGGTAACAGGGGCATAGGGTGAAAGAAACTTTGCCCATTGTTTCTCGTCGGCGTCCGGGATCAAACCCGGGACCACAGGATCACAAGTGCAGCGTGCAGTCCGCTCGGCCAACCGGCTCCTCATACTGGAGGAGAGGGAATGTCTAGTATAGAAGCAGGAGGAGAGGGAACATCTAGTATAGTGGCAAGGAAGGGAGTAAAGTCAAGTATAGAAGATGGGGAGGGGAAAATGTCAAGCACAGAGGCAAGGAAGAGGGGAAACATCAAGCACAGAGGCAGGGGGAGGGGGGAAATGTCAAGCGCAGAGGCAGGAGAGGGACATTAAGCACAGAGAAGGGGGAATATCTAGTATAAAGATCGGGTAGTAGGAATGTCTAGTTTTAGTATATAGAGACAGGAAGGGGCAATGTATAGTATAGAGACGGGGAAGGAGAAACGTCAAAGAGAGAAGGAACGTCAAAGCAAAGAGAAAGGACGTCAAAAAAAGGAGAGGGAATGTCAATGAGAGGAGAGGAGAACGTCAAGGGGAGGTGGTGCTGACAATTGGCATTCTTGATCAAGCTCACTTGTAACGTGTTCGGAGGAGTGGCTCGAACACCACCAACACCTGTGGTGGTTCGAGCACCACCACCATCAGGAGAAGTTCGAACACCACTACCTCCAGGAGAGGTTTGAGTACCACTACCTCCAGGAGAGGATCGAACACCGCCAGGAGAGTTTCGAACACCTCCAGGAGAGTTTCGAACACCGCCAGCACTCCCCTGACGGGAGGAGCCTGCACGAAGTGAACATCTGCTTCTGTACTTAACGCTGGCCTTTCCAACCTGTCACACCGATAAAATTAGTCTACAAGACGTTTACATCTGGAAACATTAGTTTACACGCCACACACACACAACACCTTAGTTTACAAACCGTATATACCCTTAAACATTAGTTTACAAGCCGTATACAACTAGAAACATTACAAACCTTACGGATGAGAACACAACTCGTGTTGATTCTTCACTAACCGTTTGTCAATATAAATAGTTTCCTTCAAACGTTCAATGTAATTCGACTAGATGATATGTTCAATGAAAAATGCAATATGTATTTCGTCTAGATTGGTATGTACAATGAAAAATGCAATATGTATTTCGTCTAGATGGTATGTACAATGAAAAATGCAAGATTGAAACAAACTAAATGAAAAGTAGAAAACCTTGAAACGTCCTTTTCAAGAACAATAACAGACATCAATAATCTACCATTACTTAAGTTTTTACTGATGGTCCCCAATGAAAATGAGCTTAAAATCAATATTTTAAGAGACTTGCAATGTTAATATTATTGTTAAAAAGCATTATTATTTTGTAATACAACTATCAAAAATACATGGACCATTGTGAAAAAAAAAACAAAAAAACCACATTATGCCGCCAAAATAATTATATAACATGGAATACATGCACATTAATAATTGTCATTGCCAAGGTGAATATGTTGCAATATTTGCAAAATAATTCAAGGTTGAAAGTGATATCATTTGCACCCCTCCCCCACTTCCACCAAATCTATCCTTGACATCACGTGATTTGTATAAAAAAAATTGCAGAAAGGGAAACCATGCAGTATGGTATTTATATAAAAGGGAAAACTGTTCGGACTTTATCATTATCTACTACTATATTATAACCTTTAGGGGTTGTTGTGCAACTCATACTC